GCCTGGAAAACAATTTCCTTCTTTATATCAACTGAATGATGTTCACCACAAACTTTATTCTGACAAAAATTCCTGAAGCTTTATCGATCGTATTGTATAGTCGAAGTGAACATAAAAAGTTCTTCAAGATGAACTGATAAAAACATGAGTGCAATATGAAAAACCAATTAAGAGGTGGTTTCTAGTAGATTGTTTGAAAGGAAGGTGATTGGACCCCACCATTTTGAAGAACTTCTTCTCCTATAAATTCCACGACGATTTTTTAAATTTTTTGTGCACTTCTCTGTATATCTGCTGGTCTTGAAACACTGAGACACCCGAAAAAAAAAAATGAATTTTTGGAAATCAAAAGCCAAAGACGCTTAGATTATACCGGGTGACACAGGAGACATATAGCAGCCTGTAGTTTTTTTATTGGAAGAGATACAATTACAATTACATTAAACATTTTGTGTAGGTACACCGCCTACTAAGTGGAATAATTATGAAAAAATAGACTGATAACCCTGTGGATCATCGTATAAGAGGAACAATTTAAGTTTCATTATTCCAAATGGAAAGATCATGTGATAGGTACATGGCGAAAATAAAAGACAGATAGTTTCTGTACGAGTAGCTGAATTCGAAAAAATATGTTCGTATCTTAGATTCCTCAATATCATGAGTTATTTTCGAAGGTTTTCATCTTGACTCGAACAAGCTATTGACCACCTGCAGACATTGATCAGAATATCAAAACATTTTGAATAATATCGGTTTACTAATGATATTCAAATTTCAAAACCTACCAAGTGTCGACATATCATCGAATTCATGTCACAGCCAACTTATTCATTCTGAATAAAAAGCAATTCAACAGCGAATTAAGGAATAAATGCCACTTTGTGATACATGGTTGGATAGAGAATTTCAAGGCGAATAAGATAAACTGTGGAAATGTACAGGGTGACATACGAAAAAAAGAAGTTTGGGTCACTTCCGGTCAAACAGGTGGTTGAAAAAAATTGTCGTTGAGTTCGTGAAGTGCGCTACCATTTATTATACCCCTGTGAATTTCAAAATTTTATCTCTTCGAATAAAAAAACTACAAGCTGTTACATGTCTTCTGTGTCACCCGGTATATATAATCATAAATATTTTTTTTTTACAATCTATAACCCTCTCCCAACGTACGCTTCTGAGTACGCCACTGGTAAAATCGAATTCCTGTGAGTATTCGAAGCCGTCTGGTATTTCCCTTGCTTCATATACCTAATTACCGCCCTAAATTATTCTTGTTGTTCCTCGGTGACTTGATTTGATAACATAAACCCCCGTTTAACACCCAAGTTACCCCGTTTGGGGATAATTCGCAGCCAGGCCGACGGATCAATCGATAAGTGATTGCTGGTAATTAGGGCTGATTGCGATGATTTACTAATTACTTCCGGAATTACGATGTATTTATGGCTTCCTGTCATGCTCCGTGGCCATCATGCCGTGCAGTCTCGTTTGTTTCTGGCCTCGAAATCCTTTCGTACCACTTTGTCCTCGGTTGTGCCCTTATTTGCTTCTTTTTTAGTTGTTGATACTTCATTTTTTTACCGTCTACAAGGCACGTTAGGAAGAGAATTCTGATATATGGAAGTTAACGCGGTGCCACCCAGGTGGAAAATCGGTACATTACCACCCAGGTGGGGTCTGATGTTCTGGTTCCCACGAAAGGGGATATCCTGTAATGTTCAGAGAACATTGTGAGAACCAAGTGAAATAAGGTAGGAATTGGTGTTCTTCTTGAATTTCTGGAGGTTATATGCCTCAGGGAACACCTCCCTTGGCAATGTGTTCCAGAGCCCCGCTGTTCGTTGGATGAAAAGTGACGCACGAAGGGGTGCGAAGCCTCAACTCGACGGGTTAATCTCGCGAGGACTGCCAAGGGAGGAACAATTATTGATATTTCAGAAGAGCATCGTTCATGAAAATATCTATAAAATAGAGCCAGATTGCCAACTTTTCTACGGTATTCCAGAGAAGTGAATGAGTTTGTGAGCGAGGCATCACCCACGAGACGAATTGCCCTCTTTTGGACAGATGTTTGGGTGCTGCACTCCAAATATGGGAACATTATTCCAGGACAGGTCGGATTTGTGCCTTATAGATCATAATCAGCTGACTGGAAGTGAAATAGCTCCTGGCCCGAAACAGAAAACCAAGTTTTTGGGATGCACTTTCAGCAATTGATCTCACGTGATTTTCCAAAGCATCGAAATGAATGTCTTGAAAGGTATGATTACTCCTGACAAGCTTATGTTGGGCACAGTGTGATCGGCTTCTCTAGAGAAAAGATATATCAACTTCCAGAGAACTTACTTTCCCTATATCATTTTACAATGGTCTTTTGGATGAATAAACTATTCTATTCTATTATATAACCGAATTTATTCATACGGATACGGCCAGGACCGTGATAATAGTTATTTATGTATCAAGGGCCTTAAATAGGCTTTTATGGACCGTAACATGCAAGTAAGACACGCCTAGGTCCAAGGAAGCGAGTTACGCCCGAAATACCAGTGAATACCTCTCCACCTCTCGAGAATGATAAAAATACATCATGACTACAGTCAGGAATATCATTGATGGAATCGACGTAACCATGGTAACTCAGTAAATTTTCTGAATTAGGAGTAGCCTTTTATATTTGCTGTCAATTAATGGCATCACAGATAACTAATTTTATTATTTCAGAAATCAAGAGAACTGTAACATTAGATAAAGAACCAACACACTACAGCGTGATTTTTTGGTATCACTCACCAACGTCTAAGCATATATATATTTTTATCAAAAAAAAAAATCATGAGAACTATGCCTAATTTGAAATATGACACTTCTTGCAGACAACTATTCATGAATTTGAAAATTTTGACTGTTCACTGTTCCCATACATAAATATAACATTGCGATATTTGCTTCAAAATATCAGCAAACGTTCCTTAGAAATAATCAACACATCTCCAATTTGGAAACAAGAGGAAGTAAACTCTTACGTATCCCACTACATAAAACTAGTCTGTTCGAAATAGACCCGAACTATAATAATTGTATAAAAATTTATAATGCACTGCCACCACGTCTCGAAGAAATCAATGCAGTGAATATCTTCAAACAAACTTTGAAAGATTATCTAACTGCGAATCTCTTTTATCCTTCCATCACTTCTCAAGTGATGTGTTTTTTTCAATTTTCGTAGGATCAGGCAATTTACAGGTTGCCCCTGTTTTATGATCAGCTGAGTCATAGGTATATACGGTTTATATAATGAAGGGTATACTACACTTTTTCCAGTTGTATTTCACAAAGCGTCAATTCAATTTCAGAAAGCGGTAATTGTATCTCAGAATTGTCACTTGTATTTCAGACAGTATCAATTGTTATACCAGATTCTTTGTGATTTTCTCTCCTCGTTTCTATAAAATAAAATCATGGATATTATTTCAATATACGTGTAGTGAGGACAAATAAGATGATTTGCCCCAAAATGTCACTGCGTTTAAAGAATTTTCCTATCGAAGAGCCCCAAAGAAAAATTCACTAGCTTCTCAGTGACAATTTCTATTGAAAAAGGTTTGGAGCAGAGAAATAAAGGTACATAGAAAACATCGAATTTTCACTTATAGGGAACGAATCTGCTCCTGTTTTCAAGATGAAAAATGGATATTTGTATATCAAATTCGTATTCGTCTTGACACTTCTCAGTTCTCAGTGACAATTGGTGACGTTCGCAATCAAATGAGTTACAGGATGGTTTCATTAATTAATCTTGAATTTACCATTTTCATTTTCAGATTTCAGTATATCAACTGAACAGGAAGCGTCAATTGAACCTCAAATGATATTTTCTGAAATACAAATGACACTTTCTGAAATACAACTAGAGCAAGTGTAGTTCTTGTCTCATTCATATTCCACAGGATAGGTTTTCTGGTAAATCTAGGGAAAAGGGAGTGGAAAAATACTTTCAGGTCAATACCAGTTGAGATTTGTTAAAGAGACAGTCGTGATTCAAGTAAATTACCTTTGATACTGTTGCCGAACAGAAAATTGATATTGAAAAGTGCATTCTTCAAGGGTGGCACCAATATTTAATATGAAAGACCAATATTTCGTCAATATCCAATCCATAGGATATCGTCGATGTTGAAAAATAACTAAATGGCCCCATGATAGAGTATCCGTAAGATCAACCTAAAATCATTATCCAGAATCACTTTCACTCTACGATCTCTCCCGTGTACTGTAGCGTTGGGGAAGCTATTACAATTGTACTGAATCTATTACTATTACACCTTGCTTAGTACGCAAGTACGAAAACAGATGAAACCACCATAATCTAGTACGTTTTTCGATTTCATCCATAATAATGTAATTTATAATGATGATGTCATCAAGAATATGAGTAAACCAACGAATTCGCATCTGAAACAGACAATTGAAGTGTCTCAGCTTTTTCTCACAATTTACATATCAAACTCTCAATGAATATGGTCCAACCTTAACGTGCTCACTGTATAAGAATTCACCTTCTATTTCTGTCAGCAGTACATATTTTGTTTTATTTCACATTTTCATTATTGACCGAGCTATTCATCTGTTCCATTTTTCGTTAAAGTAGTTATCGAGTGTTCATATTGTTTCAAAACTACCCAAATAAAGATTCATTTTCAATATTCCTATATTTTTTTCATCACATGTCGAATCTAGTACGATCTATGACAATTGCGTACTAGATTTGAGTACGAAGGAACGTTACTAAAACCACAGTATACACCCTAGCGGAATGTATACTGTGCTAAAAACCCAACGCTTGTACGACGCTATACGATCAACGGCAACTAACATCGTCGAAATAATTACAGCGCAACCCATTTTAATTAACAATCTACGCTTGCACTGCTGATTCCATTAAGTCCGAATAAATGATGCCGAATTATCGAAAATTATACCATAGATCTACTCACCCATCCATCTCTGAAGGTTTGAAGTCGCCCTTGCCTGAAAATTACGGAAAACAGTTTAATGCTATTTGAAACCGTATAACACCTGAATGGAAAGTCATTATTGAGTTCAATGGAATAATCAACTTTGACATGGAAGTGATGACAGAATTCGATCGGTTTCCACTTGATCATGACTCATAACAATGAGTGAACAGAAAAATAATCTTGCATGGAAATGGGGAAGTTTTCTATATTGAGGTTTTCATCTCCCTGTGAAGTTTATAAAAAATTAATATTTACGTATTTTTTCTTTTTTTCGTGAGATCAAATTTCACTTGAGAAAAAAAATGAAAGGGGAACTTGGCTCCTCCACCATTCTTATGACGTACTTTCTGAAAATCCACATTCACACAGAGTTAAAATACGATTCCCTGAGCCAGTACGACGTTGCCGACATCATCAAATATGTCTTGATTGCCGGAAATTGTTCTTTGAATGCATAATAACTATATCATAACAGCAATAGGTTCTTCAATCCTACTTTGTCAAGTATTATGAACGATTCCCATGAATCTCTCATTGGCTGGATGAAGTTGTTTACTAATGAAGATATATTATGATATTTTGCGATAGTATCTATAAATGTTCACTATAATTATATTGAAATATGTTATTCATAACTTGTCAGTCATTTATTTACTATGGCAATGAATTTGTTATAAAAGTTGCAGATTATATCTTGCAACAGCGCCTAATACTTCGAGTCCGTCCACACCTTTCAAAATACTGACAGGCACAACAAGAGGAAGGAGCCATGGGTGTCGGCTTCATTCTGTTCTGACCGATGACAGTAAATTAGGAAGGATAGTATCATTGAATGTAGCCGATAGTGATTCATTGATTCAATGCAATTTTCGTTGAGGATCGAGCTCTATTCGAGATAATTCAATGCATGAATAACAAATCATAACCTGTCAGAATGAAGCCAACTACCTTCTGCATTCCTGCTCCGAGTGCATTTGTGGTTATGTATATGTTTTTGTTCACCAGTTTCACTTCTTCTTCTATTTTTTTCAATCGTTTTTCATTCGTTAGCTATTCGTTAGCTATTCGTTAGCTATTCGCTAGCTATATTCTTCACCATCAGCTATTTTCAGACTAGATTCAGAATGTACGTCACAGTTTGCCATCCCGAAAATTACACATTGCTTGAATTTGAAAATGAGAAAAACTTGGACATAAAACTGGAGAGGTTTCGCAAGGCACATCATGTACAAGATCCAATTATTTTGCTGAACATTCGATTTCAAAGTCAATTTTTTTCAGATTCACCCTGTATATAGGAAAAACTCCTCATTTTGAACTATTATTCGGTATCCTCGATGATTATTCGGGAAAATATCAAACATACTTTTGTCAGTGTCGAAATACTATATCTCTGGTCGTCCATGTTTCAATAGGATCATATATTTCTCTGTCCATTGTATTTCACTTGAAAGTTTTAGTGGGAACAATGGTGGCATGTTTTGTTGTGATGGATACGGTTTTGACGACCCAATAACTGGGATTATACAGGACGGGAAATTCCATTTTGTTACGGCCCTATGTTGATCCATGTCTACGAATTATTTAGGTTCCTAAACCAGAATTTCATAGTAGGTACAGTCGTCTTCAGAGAACATGTCGCACATGGACGGTGTCAGCTCTCTTAATCACCGCTGCAATAAGAGCGCTCATACCGTCCAACCGCGGCATGTTCACTGAAGACGAGTGTACCTATCATTGTGCTCATATGGTCACACTAGAACTGACCTGATCAGTTGTAAATCAGCAGATGAAAATCACCTTGATTTTCATACGCTCTGATCGAAATTCTCAAATTATTTTCTGGTTTGATATTATTCGAGAAATGCTATTTTCAGAAACTTCAATTCAGAGGGCCGTAGCTCACCCATTTCAATATCACGAGAAAACACCCTCTTGAATATCAGGAAGTATTTCTTTCTTTCTGAATGAATATATTAATGGGATGATCAAAGTTTTTATTTTTGTTGACAATATTATTTTATGAACAAAATTATTGCAGGGAATATTCTCAGAGTAAATTATGAACATAAAAAATAGTATATTATGTAACAAGTGTTATAAACGTCCTTTTAGTAACGAGTATTTTAAACACGAGCGGAGCATAGCGGAGAGCTAGTGTTTAATAAACGAGTGTCTAGAAGAGTTTATAAACGCGTTACACTATGCTTTTTCTACGAACTCCGAAAATTACATTAACATACCTGCTATTCCTGCTAACCTTCAAATTAATTCGAAAGGAATATGGGAATTGAGAACATAATACATGCAACTGCATGCAACCAGCGAGACACGTATAAGTGATATTGGTTGTAGATGTGTCCAGTCCATTGCTTACTGACCTTTGTTTCATAAATAATAATAAATAAATTGTTCTCAAAGATGGATGCCTCATTTTTACACTTCTTGGAAATATGCAAGTACTAAGACATTCTCTTCGATTTCACTTTCGCCCACATTTCGCATATATTTTCTACAATTTGTTTAATATTTTGAATAAATCACAGATCATCAATCCGTGATTAATTGGTCATTTAGCGTGGTACATATCCGTAAGCTAAATCCCATTTTAGTTATGTGAGTAGAAAAATGAATATATACCTATGTAACGAAATACATTGAGAATTCGCATTCTCTGTATGTGATAAAAATGAAAAATATCAATTCTTCCTCGGTTTATTCAACAGAAAACAACTACTTTCCTGGCTATATGCCACGACCAACATTGAATTATATCTATTCAACACACACGATAAAAATTTGAAAAGAAAATCTTCTGAAGTTAAGAATTTGCATTCTCCTTCAGATGAAAATATGTACCTATATGTTCAAACTTGAACGATAGAAACTTATTATTTGAATAGAAATTCATTCGCAGATTCGTGATTAGGTTTTCCCGATTCAGAATACATCCAAAAACAAATGCATCCAGATGAGAGGAGTAAGTATGTAAAAAAATAATAATTCTCAGATATCAGTTCGTTATGGTTTTAGTAATAGAGAGATGAAAATTGTGGATATCATGAAGAATAGCTAAAAGAATAACTACTGGACTTCAGGTTATTGAGGAGGATTAGGTATCTGAAATGAGTTGATTCGAATGAAAGCATATAAGCTGTTTGTGAGATATATAATTCCCATATTACTGATACGAATGATTTTTTTGGAAGTTCCAAGCTCATCAACATCAGAGTTTATACAAGTATACTTCTCCTATACATTTCGATTTTCAATTCAATACTGATCATATTGGCAAGTTATATTTTGATTTCTAAATGCATCATACTATTTTATCCGATTTGAGAGAGAACGTCAATTCTCAATTTCAGAGGATTTTCATTTCTCATGCTCTACTTTTGGATGTTCAACAGACATAATTCAATGTTCTACGTGGCAAAAAGCCAGGAAAGTAGTTGTTTTCTGTGGAATTTTCAGAATGATATTATGTGCATATACATATTTTTATTTGAGGGACAATGCAAATTCTCAACTTCAGAAGATTTTATTTTCAAATTCTTATCTTGTGTGTTCAATAGATATAATTCAATGTTCGTCGTGGCATATAGCCAGGAAAGCAGTTATTTTCTGTTGAATTATCCAAGAAAGAATTGATATTTCCTTTCCAATACTTCCACCCAATCAAGGGGTTCAAACTTGAAAGATGGAAACTTGTTATTTTTATAGACCTCCAATCGCAGATTCGTGATTAGGTTTTCTCAATTCAGAATTTCTTTCCACGTCCTGTATGATAAATATGAATTTGTCATACATCCATAAACAAAACAAAACAAAAATTATTGACATTGCAACATTATATAATCTCTGAATTACTTGACGCATACAGAGGAAGTATACCTGGTATATGATTCCATGAGCAAGATTTTTTTTGCATGTTCTGGTTCCCACGAAAAGGGATATCCTGTAATGTTCAGAGAACATCGTGAGAACCAAGGGAATTGAGGTAGGAATTGGTGTTCTTCTTAAATTTCTGGAGGTTATATGTCTCGGGAAACATCTCCCTCGGCAATGTGTTCCAGAGCCTCGCTGTTCGTTGGATGAACGAGTCTTTGGAAAGAGATGTTTTGCAGGTCTCCAAAGTGACCACGAAGGGGTGCGAAGCCTCAACTCGACGGGTTAATCTCGCGGGGACTGTCAAGGGAGGTACAATTGTTGATATTTCAGAAGAGCATCGTCTATGAAAATATCTATAGAATAGAGCCAGATCGCCAACTTTTCTACGGTGTTCCCAAGAAGTGAGTGAGTTTGTGAGCGAGGCATCACCCACGAGACGAATTGCCCTTTTTTGGACAGAATCCAATGGTGTCAGGGTATGTTTGGGTGCTGCACTCGAAATATGAGAATAATATTCCAGGACAGGTCGCCTTATAGATCATAAGCAGCTGACTGGAAGTGAAATAGCTCCTGCACGATTAGTTATACCTGATCCTGAAGATGATGTTGCTTTGGAGTGAAGTATGAAATGAGAATGTTCGTCTGAATATGAATATGAACGAGTATCTAATAATAGTTCTAATTCACTCTAGAGGTTTCGAAGCGAATCAAAGGGCCCATCCTGTCAATTTCCGTTATCGTCTAAAAGCTCACATATAGTCCTTTATAATGCCCGCATACCAGGCCGTCTTGCTGCGGAGGCAGTTTATTCTTTGCACGAGAAAGAGGAGAGTTCGATAAGAAACGGTATCTTATGCTGATAAACCGTCTAAATCGCTGCTTATTTCCGGGGCGGATTTTTTACGGTCTTTTCCCCCGGGCTTTTTGTTTTCAAAGATGTGTGTATCGATTACTCTCTGCGAATCTCCAGATTTGACTATGTTCTTACTTATTGTTAGTGGAGATGGAATCGGAAATCAATACTGAACGCCCAATGATTACCCCACATCGACGTCATTCTGGACATTGATAGCTAATGTAATTTCATCCACTTGAGTAGCTGATGATAAGAATATTTATGAAGCTTGGTATCCACATTTTTTATTAATGCCTGTAAGCACAACATAATGTGTATCTATTTTTTTCTACAAGCGTGCGTGATTCACCCTATACCCGCACGCGATTTAGTTTGGGAAGTGTCATTTTCCCGCACTAGTGCGGGAAAAACAGAGATATGATAATATGGCAAAATATAAGTGGTAGGTGATGGAATATAAGAGTTTGAGTTTGTTTGTTGCAGTATTAAGTATGTATGTTCAGAATCATCCATCAAATTGCACTATTTATTGTGAAAATGAAGAAATATTGAAAAATAAAAATTGATTATTATAAAAATCCCCCTATAAATTTGGATTGATCTGATGGGAAACGGTTATTGTTGTCATGCCGATCAAACCTCAAATGAGTTTGTTATTGTCGAAGTGACAGACACAGCGTTACTGTCATTTTCGATTCAGTGGAATTGCCACAATGTGATCAAAAACTTCCAGCTATAGGGATGCGATATAGATGCTTTGTTGCCAACGAAGTCTTGAGAAAGGTATGAGAAGCTATACACGCGGTTTATTGAATGGTGCAACAATAAAAGAAATGAAAATACCGAATAAAGAAGAAGTATTTTTGGCTCATTTCCTAGAAGTGTCTGAAACCTAGAGACCAAATACCTTATGGGCCTGCTGGCTTCCGCAATGAACCTATACATATTGCGTCAAACTGTAAGTTCACAATAGCTGTTACTAATAATCAGTAGGTAGAGAATATATTTCTCTTGTTAGTTGTTCCTATATATATGAATGAATAATTGAACGAATCAATCAATTTCCTACGCTTGTAGAAAAAATATTGTTCCTAACTCATGCGGAAAGTGTCTTTCCCGCACTCGACAGCTTGCCTGAACTCCGCTTCGCGACGTTCGTGTCAACGGCAGTCGCGTGCGGGAAAGAATCACTTTCCGCACTAGTTAGGAAAATTACTATTTTCTACAAGCGTGCGTGATTCACCCTATACCCGCACGCAATTCAGTTTAGAAAGTGTCATTTTCCAGCAACATTGCGGGAAAACAAAGATATGATGGTATGGCAAAATATTAGTGGTAGGTGATGGAATATGAGAGTTTGAGTTTGTTTGTTGCAGTATTAAGTATGTATGTTCAGAATCATTCATCAAATTGTACCATTGTGGAAATTAGGAAATATTGAAAAATAAAAATTGATTATTATGAAAATTCCCCTATAGATTTGGATTGATCTGATGGGAAACGATCATTGTTGTCTTAATTGACTAAATTTCATTTATGTGTTAGCCCAATGATGAAATCATTTGTACTATCTATCGAACAACTTTTGATTTTTCCATTCGGACTTGTTTTATTAGTTTCAGACTCAAATTATTTTTTTCAAATAATCAATTTATCATTATCAATATTCCTTGACCACACTGTTCGAGCCATATTTCAAAATGAGTTGCCTTGGTGGTGTGTCTGCTTGAATTGAATTAAAGCAACCATTCTTTATAATGCGAGGCACTGAGAGGTCAGACATATTCCAGAGAGAGGGAGTATTAATATACATAATTTTCGTTTTCATAAAGGAAAACAGAAAAATATGTGACCACATAAAAGACCCTTAGGAGCCCCGCCGACCCAGAATAAGGCAATAAAAAGAAAAGAGGTGTTAAGTGGAGTCCGTCGGTAGGACAGAAGTTAATTCCTCCAAATGTTTTTCCTGTTGAGTTCAAATTAGTACGTGAAAATGGATATTGTTCCAAATATCATCAGTTTTCTCGACGAAAGATGACTTATGTTAAGTGTGAAGTATTCAAGAACAATCTCTCAAACACCTGAAAATTCACAAAATGTTGGGATCTGAAAGTAAAAACACTGTCTATTGGATAATCGAGGAGGTGATACATTCATTATTCCAAAATTTTTGGGATTTTCTCTCCTCGTTTCTGTAAAATTAAAATATGGATATTAATTCAATATACGTGTATTGAGGACAAATCAGATGATTTTCCCCAAAATGTCACTGCGTTTGAAGAATTTTCCTATCAGAGAGCCTAAAAGAAAAATTCACTAGCTTATCAGTGACAATTTGTATTGAAAAAAGTTCGGAAGAGAGAAATAAAGGTATATATAGAAAATATATCAAATGTTTTCTTAGCTTTGGACGTTTCGGGAACGAATCTGCTCCCGTTTTCAACATTGAAACAATGTTTTTTTTTGTATCGCAAATTCATATTATTTGTCCTGATAGAGTTCTCAGTGACAATTGGTGACTTTGGCAATTAAATGAGTCATTAATTAATCTTGATCATTCTCATATTCAGATTTCAATAGTGAATACCATATTGATTGCTGACGTCACCAATTGTAAGTAAAAATTTGATATTCTTTCAATATATCTTTATTTCTCTTCTCCGAACTTATTCCAATACAAATTGTCAGTGACAAGCTAGTGAATTTTCTTTTAGGCTCTCTGATAGGAAAATTCTTCAAACGCAGTGACATTTTGGGGCAAATCATCTGATTTGTCCTTACTACACCTATATTGAAATGATAACCATATTTTTATTTTATAGAAACGAGAGGAAATCCCGAAAAATCTGGAATGATGCATCTGAAAGTATGTTGCGATCTAAAATTGAATTGTGAAATCATGTCAGATTTTTCGAACCGACCATTCTGTCCTCAAATTCCTGCCTGACTAATTGAATCGTTTTGTATCTCTCCTGATTTACGTCGTGATCCCGATGGCAATTAGGGACACAAAAGAACAAAGGTCGTATAACTGTAGGGGGAATTGACTAAATCTGTCCCAAATAACTCCTAATGTTGAGGTTGAGGGGTGACTTACGGGCAAAGCAGCATTTCTCTGCTCGGACGGCATATACGCATGCGCACACGAAGAGCAGGAAGGCCACCAGCAGAGCTCCTGCGACACTAACTAATGTGCTCATCTGCAGGGGTTCTGGAAGCAAAAAAACACAAATATTGACTGAAACTTATACATTGCCAATATGGTCGTGTACTGAAAGTAGTATGGGCAAACCTGAATGAAGTGGTGACAAAAATTAGCAGGAATGGATTGAATTATCAAGATTTTGATTGTTGGTTTATCCATATATTTCACATGCATCTTTGGTAGAGAAGAATAGTCGAAAGATCAGGTAACATGAAAACACGACAGGTGCCCTCACGAGGGGAGTGTACCAACGATTCAAATCTGTGATTCCTGCCTTTATACAAGAGAGATTGCCGCCCTTGAGAGTCTGATATACTTAGTGTTTCAACAGCTTTCCATGACAGTTTGGTGGACATGATGGGAAAATTTCAAATTCATACAGGGTGAATTAGGAATGGGCAATCTCTGAACCGCAGATAGTAAACACAGGAAGATTCCATTTTGAAATTCCTCAATAACTTTGTAATTTTCAACAACATAAACATACAATTTTGTAGTTTTAGGTTTTCTGACATGAAAAATACGAATTTGTTATTTCAGCAGATTATATCATATCTCATCTGTCCATTGGATGATGGTTAGAATGCGGTGAAAATCTGAAAGCCTGATCAATTTTACATAATGTATGTACAGGGTGCGCCTTTTAAAATGGAATCCCCGTTTTGTTTTCAGAGATATAAAAAAATTTTGAAAGGAAAAGTTGTGTAAAACGACTCAAACTTTCATTTCGTGAAGTTGTTTCATATACAGGGTCATTCTTTTTTTGATTTTTTCAATGGAACACTCTATATATTTTATGACATGTCGATAGAACCTTTTTTTTTCCGAAATATATATGTGAGTTGCAACTTTGATGGTAAATAGTTGAGTGATTGATGATCAAAGTTTACCGGAATAATAAATAACTCAATTATTATTTTTCATCCAAATATGCAACTTATATATAGTTTTGGAATCAGAAAAGAAGGCTCTATCGACGTGTCAGGCAATATATAGGATGTTCCATTGAAATAATCAAGGGTAATGTCCTTTCCGGAAAAACGAATGACCCTGTATATGAAGCAACTTCACAAATTAGAAGTTTGGGTCGTTTCGAACAACTTTCTAATCCAACATTTTTTCACATCTCAGAATACAAAAGAGCTAAGGGTGTACTCTCAGATTGTCTAGCTGTAACAGTTTTTGTTGGCGAAGTGAGTAAATTAGAATAACAATCACTAATAACACCAACAACAAACAAGATGTCATGCAAGTAAATGTTCGACGATACTCATTGAGGAATTTCAAAATGATATTTTCTCTGTATCAATATTTGTATTTGGCTAAATCTTCATATTTTGATGTTTACCATATGTTGTTCCGAAACTGCCCATTCTCAATGAATCACCCTGTATAATACCAAGGACGAATGCTCTGAAATGGGGAGGATGCAACAGCTAGTGATACTTCAATACATCGTGGTAGGAGATAACTCACAAAAAGAACATTTTGGTAAAAAGTCTGTTGAGCTTCGTAATATCCTCTACTTCAGATTCACTCTGCAGATGACCGTAGTGAAACATTCAATCCTTGAAGCTGTAGCAGTTTTCATCTAGGGATGGAAAACTCTACATTTTCACATAAAAAGCTCATCTATTAGCAATGCAGGGATCAAAGGAACTCGTGAACTTTTCGCTGTATTATTTTCCACTTCCAGGCCTTATCAGCATAATGAAATTTTCCCATTTACATCCGAAAAAATTGGCACCCTTAGACAAACGAAAACTTTTTTGTAATTCGTTCGAAAACTATAATTCTCTCCAAATGGAAATTTTTTTCATATTCAATAATGTAGTGAAATTCTGAGTATTTTTTCATTCAACATCGTTCCGTATGGATGACTCGTTCAATGAATCTGTATGATTGTATTGTTTGATTCATTGATGGGATCTTTAAAAGTTTTGATCCATGATCATATTAAAGAAACAAGTGAGAAGGGATAAAGAGAGAAAAACAATGGAATTTCTAGTAAGTCGATAATTGAAACTTTCTTACTCCAAACAAGCTTGTGTTTCTCAGATTCTAATCACAATAATCAATTTTCCCCAGGTGAATCCCAAATGTTATTTCACACGACAATTTCGTTATCACACTCCTCTACCTACCTGAACCAAAGTGCTGAATAGGTACTGTTCTTCCAATTTTCACACAATACATCGTTTGTACCCTAACATTTTCATTGATTGTGTTCAACAATCAGGGGCATCGATAATGTTTTTTCTTGGGGCGAGGGTAATGACTTTTTGGTGCAGGTAATATAAAAATTGTAGAGAGCCATGAATAATGTACAAGGTGTTATGTTAGTAAGTGGCCAAATTGGAAGAGGTGATTCTTTGAGGAACTCTTTTCTCTTTATAAAAAAAAAGTTTTGTTACACCAACAAAATCATTTTGGTAATTTTTTCGTTAAATTGAACAGGATTTCGCGAAAGCAACAAAATATATGTTTATTCCAAATAAGCGACTCATTCAGAATCACAAAATATTTTGATTGAAATATTTGCTTACTCGAACAAAAGTTCCATTTCATTCAACAACATTTATAGTTGGCATGAAACACATTTTCTTTATCCAACTATCCATTGTTCAATGGATCATATGCATCTTGTCTATTTGACAAAATTGAGTTACGGTTGACAGAGATTTAACGACGTACAACATCATATTTTGTTGTTTCATCATTTCATTGTGCAACCAATCAAATGTTTTTCTTCTAATCGACAGAATTGAATTGATTTGGACAACATGATATTTTGTTGATTCACCACATCATTATCAAGAGATATGTTGTTATTATGTTATTATATTATTATTATATCATGTTGAATGATTATCTAGTTCCATTTGCGCCACTAGATGGCGTTTATTCTCACCTTCTAACGCTCGCCTCGATTGGGGTGAACCATATACTTAGAACGTCCGTTTATTTAATTATGTTAGGTTGTCCTAGAGGCTAGAATTTCTAATGACGCTTGCAATCTAATAGTCTTGAATCAACTGGGAAAATTAATCCCTAATTTCTTTCAGTTTTGAAATTCAGTGACTGAAATATTTCATTAGTATTATTCAACAATATATTTTGTCAATTCTGGATACAATTTTGTTGATCGAATGAAATTTTCCATTGAATGGGAAATATATTTTGTTACATTCAGAATTAAATTGTTATTTTAACATATTCACTTCCTGAACAACTGAAATTTTTTTCACTTGAATGAAATGATCATTTCAATCAACAGAATGTGTTCATTAGACCAGATATTGTATATTATGAAAACAAAATAGTCTTTGTTCCTTCAACCAATTCCTGCTGTTGGTTTGTATCAATAATGAGTTGAATCAAATGAATTTTAAGTTGAAAAGAGACAAAATAATTTTTTGCGGTAACACGAAAATTTGTCGGCGATATATATCACTTAGATTTTGTTGAATTCACAGAAATTTTGTAGTTTCAAACAATATTTTTTTCCGAGAGATGAAAAGTTCATAACATGACCATAGCTCCGGGCTTTGGTAATGCTTTGTTTTCAAGATACACAGTGTCAAACTTTCCAAAAAAAATATAGGTTTCTCGTAAATCTAGTAGTATTGGCTTAATTACACGGTGAAAAATCCTATTGAGTAAAGATTTTCGTCAGAAAAGGAATGCACAATTAGTTTCATCAGTTCATCAATGACCCAAATTTTGTTGAATTCCTGTCAAAATTTTGTACATGATTTCTTGAACATTTTTGATACTTCTGAGACATTTGGTGTCAGTATAATTCAATGGATACCTATGAAATGTTCACACAATCTGGACCCATAATCGTATAAACTTTTAGACATGGAATCACTCGAAAAATCTTCTCTGGAAGTTTGGCCACCTACCTAAATAACACCCTGTATATTAGAATTAGAAAAAAAATCAAACTCCTTTGGACGAACAAATCACAAATCTAATAGTCATAAACGTCTATCATATCTATTACCAATCATACAAATTATGATCCTTTTAGGGAGGGTAATTATACCCCGATTACCCTCTCCATATCGACGCCCTTGTCAACAATAGAAATCTCTTGGCTTAGTAGTGAGACGCGTCGATATCACTAGATGAATAACAACCTTCTCAATTTCTATAGATTTCAAAGGTTTTATTTATTCAAGACATTCCTCCAGATAAAATTCCTCTGCGCTTCCCAGTTCCAATTTGATTCTTATTTGAATATTTTATAGACATTTTCGTTCATCAGAACGCAAGAAATGCGTGTAGATATTTTGCCAAAGCATATTTCATTTAACTAAGTTGAACTCTTGTCCTGACTCGTATTGTTCTTCTTGATTGGAATTGAGGGAAAAATTTCATTATTTGGGTATTCAGTTGAAATTCGCAATTGCAAAGTTCTTTTCGGATCGTGCCACATTTGTTATTTTAAAAACTCTGTTTCAGATTTCATGAAAGATATATAATTCTCAAAGTATATTCACAATATTGAAATGAAGGCAGATGATATAATTCCAGCAGAAGGGATTCTTGAATTACAATTATATCAGAATTCATGAACACATCGAAACTGAAAAATAGACATAATTGCTTCAAACAATAAACCACACTTCTAACTTGGTCGGATAATTTCAAATTATCACAGCTTCCTTCAAAAAATCGAAGGGAAACCTATATGATTGCATTCAAATCAACAAATACTGCACATCATCACGAAATGTCCGACCTCTTACAAGTCGAATATATAGTCAATAATAATTATATTATAACAAAAAGCAAAATAAAACATTATACAAATTCGGTTCGACTGTCTTATTAACCGTTCTATGAAACCAGCACACTGGGTATATTTTTTCATCAATTGTTCTTATAAACATAACCCCAGAAACCACTGAGAATATAAGTTAGTATAAGTTAAGTTCATCAATAGAGACGGAAAATATATTCAAGAAACGAAAAAGTCGATATGTTGATAATATGCAATTTCAATCAACACACAAATGAAGAAGAAAAATTATTGATGCAATCGATTAACTGTCAAACACATAAAACATTTTGTGTAGGTACACCGATTACTGAGTGAAATAATTATGACTGATAGCCCTGTGGATCATCGTATAAGAGGAACAATTTTATTTTTATTATTCTGTACAAGTAGCTGAATTCGAAAAAATATGTTCCTATCTTGAATTCCTCAATATCATGAGTTATTATCGACCCAAACAAGCTATTGACAACCTGCAGATATTGATCAGAATATCAAAACATTTCGAATAATATCGGTTTTCTAATGATCTTCAAATTTCAAAGCCTACCAAGTGTCGATATATCATCGAATTCATGTCACAGCCAACTTATTCTTTTTGAATAAAAAGCAATACAACAGCGAATTAAGAAATAAATGCCACTTTGTGATACATGGTTGGATAGAGAATTTCAAGGCGAAAAAGATAGACTGAAGAAATGTACAGGGTGACATTTAAAAAAAAAGTTGGGGTCACTTCCGGTCAAACAGGTGGTTGAAAAAAATTGTCGTTGAGTTCGTAAAGTGCGCTACCATTTATTATATACCCCCTGTGATTTTCAAAATTTTATCTCTTCAGATAAAAAAACTACAGGCTGCTACATGTCTCCTGTCTCACCCGGTATATCTCAAGTAGGGTTTCTCTACAGTGCATCCGTTGAATTCATTGCTCTGGTATACCTCTCGACATACCTAGTGGACAAATTCGTGAAAAATGTTGTCATTTCTATCAAAAGAATCATTCTATATGTATCAATGATTTCGAAAGAATGCTCCAATGAAAATGAAATTCAACGGCTCCGAAGACTATCCGTTTACTCTTTGACGAATGTTTCCACTACTTTATGAGATTACGCATTTACTGAATATACCTACACATCCAGTGAGTGATATATTTTTGAATTCAGATTTTCATGAATTCAAAAAATTTGATAATATATAGGGTGTTTCGTTTAAGAAAACTCTCGTGGACGAAAATATATTCTTCACGAAAATATACATCAGAATTCGAAACAAAACTGAACTACTTTGGACAACGGAATCACTATAATCAAGCAGCCATAATCGCCTTTTATACCTGTTACCTATCTCAATTATCAGATTCCATACAAAAAATAATAATTCACTATTTTTTTATTATCGCTCTTGGGGAGGGGGAGTTTTATTGCCTTCCCCCCCCCTTATCGACGCCATTCATCAGGTGATATGTCTAAGGAAAGTGGGATTGTGTATTTAACTTACCATTAACGTATAATTGGACAGCATGCCTGTCAGTCCCCCTGTCATTTTCCACCGCCAGGTAGTAGGCTCTGGAATCTGTTGATGTTGCGTCTTTTATATGAAGCGTCGCTAAATAACAGTCTTCACGTTCTTCTTGCATCACATCATCCACCTTGTATTTACCTGTAATGAAAAATATACTTCGATTATCAGAGTTAATGGATCAGTGAATGAAAAGCACAAGTATTGTGTCTGTTATCCTACAACAAAAGAGATACAGTAGAAAAATGAAGACCTGATTTGAATGACATTTTTAATGTAGAGGTGAATTCAATTCAATTCATTGAGATTGAGACAGAATTTTCAGATGTTGAGCATTTGTAACTGATGACCAGCATAGCTTAACCATAATTCATAAAAACTATAATAAGTAGCACACTAGGGTAGAACGAAAAGAGCATTATCAGTTCACGTTTTTTCAGATGTATTCAGTCTAATTCTTCATTGATTATCTTCACACTGTTGCCAACTTTAGAGAATATCCTTCCATTTCTGGACAATACATTTTGTATTTCATATTTCTTCCTACTCAATGTCATAAGTTGATACCGTTGATAAATTCATGTTCCCTTCAACGCAGCTCTTCCTTTGTAGATTTCGTTGCGTTTGAAATATGAGACAAAATCCACTATAACAGTTCTGGGTTTATGTATATTCTCAGTGACTATTCCGATTCGAAAGACATTGTTGATGTCACCCAGAGTGCATTTAATTTTCAGTCCATCATTGAATAAAAGAAGAACCCTAGCTTGCCGGTTTTCATTGTTCTCTTCTTTCATTCCCACCACTCTCAACGTGTTCATTTTCGACCATTGTTCCAGGAAATCGACATTTTTACTTAATTTTGTTACTGCTTGTTGGTTAGAGTGAGCTAATTTATCCAAATCACCTAATTTGTTAACTATATTATTTATTTTGCTATCCATTTTCTCAAATTGCTTACCCAGATTTTCCAACTGCGCTTCTATTGTAGCTGTTAGTTTTGGAGCCAGTTTGTTGATTACTGTTTCAAGTATACTTTCATCCAAAATATTAGCCATTCCAGATATACTATTGCTACGAGTTGCCTTACTCATCGCTATACTGAATTGGCAACACTGCTCAAATTGACCCCAATGATCAAGTGATGATTTCCGGATATTTCAGGCACTTTCAGCTGTCTGATTAAATTGAATATTTACTAATACGACGCCCAAGAAAAACCACTTAAATTCCAAAGAAAGACAGAGCTCATTAATACGATGTTTCCATCGCCATACTCTTCGCCAGTAATGAGCAAGTGCAGATAGAATTAGCGAGTTCTATCTGAAACATCCTATAGATTATGTGATTTTTCGACTTGTTTAATTGTGAAGAATTTCGTGGAATGAATATAAAATTGCCCATCAGTTTGAGTAATTGTGTTGATAAACTCTCATTTAGATTTCCACATTATATTTGTATCATGCAACCGACTCGTTAGAGAAAAACGACTATTTCATCATCAGCAGCAGACGGAATCCATTAGGCTTCATTTCATTAGAAGCTAAATACGAATGCCCATGGACTTTTTGTTATCTCTGGAATTATTCAGTCGTATAATGTACATTAAATATGTAATAAATCCACAAAATAAAGTTGCATTACTTACAATACTTCTGTAATTCCAGTATGTCAAACAAACTATGCATGGAATCTATCTCGACATACGCAACTCGAAAATGGTAGAAGAAATAGGGGTTGTCATTCAGAATTTTATAATAGGGGTAGGTGCTCTAAGCGACAGAGGATTGAAAGTTATATGACAAACCTGAGTCTCAACAATGGGCGTGTACACCTTAGTAGAACTTTTAACTCAAACCATGTTTATAATGATCCTTTCATACATAAATAATGATTGACGACATAATTCGATCGAAAAATTAACTGGAATGTTTTATTTTTGGGAATAAATAATAGTTCCTTCTGAAAACGTTCCCTCTTATGGCGTAGAACCCTATCTCGCCATAGTAAAAAGAAAATACCAAACGGCCGACGGAGACTGAGGGAACTGATATATTAATTCTTTCAACTGTGATCTCGCGCTAATTCACTCTGTCAGAAATCATGTATCATTCATCTCTGTCTGGAATAGTCTTGTTTCAGTATGTTTTGACGTCACATCATCGCCTCGTTTTCAGAGGTCCGAAAAATCGGGGATTTCAATAATTTTTTATAAAACGTAGGGGGCTCACAGCAAGAAACAGTTTGCGGTGGTGAGCTAGTTTGGGTGAGTTCCATAGAATTATATAAAAAAAAAATTTGTGATATAAGCCCATTGTTCCTCTTGATATGCAAATTGACAATCTCCAAATGCTGGTTTGAATATTGACATCCTGTATATATTCATGACATTATAATTATGCTCATTATGTTCATCATTGAACTAAACAGTCACAGAGAATGAAGCTTGTGTCGGCTTTCATTACCTATATTTATTTCCAAAGAGTACATCAATTTAGGCTTTGCTATAATTATTTTGATTGAGAATGTTTTGGTCTATTGTATGATTACGGGTATGAACACTTCACAGTAACGGCTGAGTCAATTCAAAATTCGAATGCATTAAAAATCCTATTTGCCGACAACTTTTTTTTACATCTAATAGTATAAAGCATACATTTTACTAGTTGTAGTTGTAGATAACTATTTCATTGACTATTTCCTCATCATAAATGAACCAATAAACAAATAAATAAATAAATCTGATCAATCGCATCAAGCCAAAGACAACTTGTGTATACTCCTCATATACATTTCAATTTTCATTTAAATACTAACATATTGTTAAGTTATATTTTTATATCATAATACATCATATCATTTTATTCGATTTGAGAGATGATGTCAATTCTCAATTGTAGAGGATTTTCATTTTTCATGCTCTCCCTTTGGATGTTCGACGTGGCAAATAGCCAGGAAAGTAGTTGTTTTCTGTTGAATAAATCGAGGAAGAATTGATATTTTCATCACATAGAGAATGCGAATTCTCAATGTATTTATTTATACAGGGTGTTTCATTTCTAATTGGAAATATTTCAACCATAGAATCCCGAACTCAAAATATGAAGATTTAAACCAAATCACCTAGATAAAATATGTCTCCTGTCTGAGTTACAGGGTGTTTTATTAAAAAATTTATAATAATAAATGTTTTTGGCCCAGTTCTTCAAAACTATTCGACGTATCACTTCCATATTTGGAGGAAAGTGTAGGTATTATACATCCAACTGAATTATGTGAAATGAACTTCTCTAGCTATTACCAGAGGCGTACGACAGGGGCAAGTGACTGGTTGATCCTTCCCATTTCTACGCCACTGGCGGAATTGCAATTTCATCAGAATTTTTCGATTCTTCAATACCTTCTTTGTTAATATTGTATCCTTTCTTCATTTTTGATAAAGTCAATATTTTTCGAGATATTTCAAGTTGAACATGAAGTAGCACAATTATTTTGATTTTAATGTGTATCAATAATGTCGATATTTTGGATCAATGGACTGCATTCATCAATCAAATGAAACTTCAATTCATTTTAGCATAAAAACATAACAGACGGGAGCTGTACAGGGCGTTTCAAATTTTTTGATATATTACATAATTAAACACCCTGTAGCAACTCCTGTCTGTTATGTTTTTATGTTTTTATTGTTTATATGGATTGAAGCTTCATTTTACTGATGAATACAACCCATTGATCCAAAATATTGACAAAATTAATGCACATTGAAATCAAAATGATTGTGCAGATTTATGTTAAGCTTGAAATATCTCGAAAAATAATGACTTTATCGCCATGGAGAAAGAGTACAATATCTACGTCAAAATTGTTGAAGAATCCAAAATTCGTGATTGAATTGCAATTCCGCCAGTGGCGTAGAATTTGGGAGGGATCAACCAGTTAATTGCCCCCCTCGTACGCCTCTGGTGATTGCTAGAAAAGTTCATTTCACATAATTCAGTTGGGTGTATAATACCTACACTATCCTCCGGATATGAAAGTGATACGTCAAATAGTTTTGAAGAACGGGGCAAAAAACATTTCAAAATTTTTTAATAAAACACCCTGTAACTCAGACAGGAGACATATTTTATCTAAGTGATTTGGGTTAAATGTTCATATTTTGATACTATTCTGAAAATATTGAGAGTTGAGGCAGAGGAGGGTTGAATTTTCTGTCAGAATGCGTCTGGTATAAAGTGCTATACTCGTGGTCGAATAAAGATGAGCAGTAAAGATATCTCTAACCGAAAGGCCTTTTGGGAGTTTTTTTCGAGGACTCCGGCATTCTCGAAAAGTGGCAAATATGATGAGATTATCCCCACACATGGCACTTGCTTCCTTGAAAGTGTCACTTTGTCGGAACCGACCCCTATTTTTATCGGAAGAATATACACACGGCAATCAGATATATTCCACCACTTATCACGCTTCTTTCTGTAGCAAAGATGGTCGCTTTGTAAGGGTTGGTAGGTAATAACAGCCAGTGACGGGGTGCGAAATCCATCGACTCACTTGTATTGAGATGTCAATGAATTTGTCATCAATAATAATATATCGAAGACTGGAACCTTTGGCAATACACTACACACGACTGTTCTTCCATTTCACTGAGGAAAAGGTTTTGTTATGATAAATAAATTGATTTGTTTGAGTATGCTTCGTTGAATATTGACGCCAAATTCTTGTCATCAATATACCTCATTAAATACTACCATGTAATTTGTAAATGAATCATTGACCGGAAACAAAGGATTCGTTAGGAGCTAATTATTTCAATATTAACATATGTTTTTAGGAGTAACTTCCATGAGTTTGTCACAAACCTGTTCGTTATATACAAACTTTCTGGAATCTTACCCTCGAATTACCATTTATTAACTGGTAACAAATTCTCTCCACAGTTTGACTGCTTAGAGAATAAGAAATTGTTCATGAGAGAAACAAATGATTTGTTATATAGACTTCCAAAATGGAGGAAGCACTGAGAGGGTGGGGTCTTGGAAATTTTGTTGTGCAAGGTAAAATGGTTAATTTTCCTGTACATAGGATGATGATTGTACAGATCAATTGTGACGAGATGACAAGTGCAAATTCATATAAGTGAATGGATTTATTGGAATGGATGCAAATCCACAAAATCCTTGATTGAAGAAACAAGGCTCGAATATGAAATTAATTAGATAGCAACCAATATTTGTCAATAATAGTTAACATGCCTATGTTCGTTATTGTCAATCAATATTCGACAACTGTTGAGGTATCCATAAACAAGTCAAAATTTTTAAATCTCATTCATTTTAATCCGTCCAAGTGCTTCGAAATTGATGCATCAGATGAAAAATCATGACTTTTCGACCTAATGAACATCGTTGACCTTGGAAAACCTGATAGTTTATTATTTTCTTATACTTCACAATCATTCTGAATGATTAAATGCAATTTTAACATCCTTTCGTTCGCTCCAAGAGATGAAAAAATACCGTACTGATTATTAAATGTGACAAGATATTATATTCTTTCTATCAAGAACTTGTTCATTTTTATGTTACAGATCATTCATATCAATATAGTGGATGATCGATACACCTGGATTTCTGGTCTGATTTTAGCTCTTTTTATTCAGATGTTTTGATATCATAATATATGTGATGTGAGTATACTGTGAACTTTTGCTTAAATAAATTTGTTCTCAGAGACTCTTTATTCTTTCTGTTAGGAAAAAACAATTGGAACCATCCAAACCGTTCAAAAAACGTCTTGTTTTGATAATAATTATTAATGTGTATCTTCGAAGCCTAGCTATATTCTTCTTTGTTTCAGCCTAACATATCACAAATTGACTCATCCAGAAGAATTGTAAAGATTATTCTCAACTCACTGATGAGGAATCTCCATCATTGTGAATGATTAATTGACATAATTTTTTATTTATCACAAGAAACGAAAAAGTATAAGGTATCCTCAATAACTGTTCAAACTTATAAATTATTATGTTAGGTTGAATGAGTAGTGGGAAAGATTCATGAAAGAATCGATCATCGATACTTATATCCACCCAACGATAACGGCCAAGTTAATGTTAGTCATGGTTGAGTTCACATGTTAACCTTGGTCTCATATCATGAATTGAGGTAATGAAAATTTTGCTGTACAGGGTGTTGTTTTTGGAATTGACGAAATTTTGCTTTGTTCTGGATACGAACCTGAATTCTGATTTCCATTCCTATTCAGTTGTGATGGGTAGGTGGATTGTGTATACCAAGTATTGTCAGATTATACAAAGTGGTGCAAAAGTTATGATCACATGAATATTTTGCCGAAATGAAGAGAACGTCCTGTATCTCAGTAATACAAGATAACAGTAAGCAGGATAGTACTGTACTGATAGATAAAAGTCCAAAGATTTAGTGATGATTGCCAGTTATTGGAAACCTCTATGAGTATATAGTCTTCAAAGAAACTACCACTTTACTAGTTCATTTTTTCTCGTTCATACAAAAATATTCGTGAAACCACGCTAACTTTCCGCTAACGTCCCTTTTGATGTCATTCAATTCCAACTTGACGAATCGAAATGGAAAGTTATAACGAATTCTGCGAGTTATCAGAAGAAAGCGCATGAATTCAAATGGCGTATATGACGAGGAAGCCAATAAAAACTTTCGGTGAAGACGTAAACATCTTAACGATGTTCGTTTTATGCCCTGTCTCACATGTGTTCCTAGTTTCTACATCACAGAATCACTAAAAGATGCCGTATTTAGCAGCGTTTCTCCTCTGTTGGATATGTCAGCAACGGCGTGTTTATACGAGCATGATCTCTCGTGAAATTACCGAGTTCTATGAAGAAATAAACCATGATTGAAAGTTTCATTGGCTTCATACAGAATACTTAGGATCGAACATCGGACGCTATTGTCGGCTTTAGTAAATACTAGCAGACCTCGCAAACGTTGTTTTGCTTTATACATTATCTCTATAATATATTTTTTCAGTTCAATATCCATCAAGACACTATTATTATTTTATTTACTATATCTTTCTACTTTCGCTATCTATAAAAGCGGGTTTCTTTAGTTTTTCAAACTATCATTTATTTCAACATCTTTTCAGTTCACTTGAATTATTGATTTTCACGAGAAAGAATCATAATATACGACTCCTAAAACCCCAGATGAAAATTTTGAATAGAGTCGGAACATAATCACAAAACTCGTCCGGTATATCGGTTCCAACGTTTAGAATTTCCATATTCCGCCCTTTCCAACTTTTGACAAAAGAATCATAATCTCCGATCATGAAAACACCCAGATAATAATTTTGAAGAGAGTCGGATCATAATTACAATACTCGTTCACCATATTGGGTCCGCCATCTTGAATTTCCTAATTTCGACGAAAGAATCATAGTGTCCGACCTTGAGAAACACCAAATACCAAATTTGAATAAAATCGGCTCCTAATCACAAAATCCGCCATTTTGGATTCGCCATCTTGAATTTCCCAATTTTTAGTTAATTCAACAGGTCATACAATGACAAATAAATATATTCATTAAGAAAGGTAAACAATACTTAATATTAACACTAACCATCAACTTGAAAAAAAGAAATTGAGAATGGGTATAAAACATCAATGATATACTAGACAAATATATTTACAAACAACACTAAACATCAAAATATCATTAAAATAATCTGATCATTAGAATAATTTACTCACATCATGATTCCAGGAGAAATTCATCAACTAAGTAATATGCTTTTTGCAATAGAAATGATTTGAGTTGCCTTTTGAACACATTAAGATTTGAAGAGAATTTAATGTCTTCACTGAGATTATTATATAGCTTAACTCCATAGTACATGGGATGATTCTGTGATACTGACAATCTACTACGAGGTAGATGCAATTGATTACAATTCCTAGTGAAATGATCATGAATTTGTTTATTTTTGGGTATACTTGAGAAATGATTCCTGATATATATTGAAGTTAGATAGATATACAAACTGGGCATTGTTAAAATATCATAATGTATAAATAATGGCCTGCAATGATCTCTGGATGATGCACCTGCCATAATTCTTATTGCTTTTTTCTGTATAATAAATACTTCGGGAGATTTGGCAGATAAACCCCATTGTTCTAGACCATAAGCTATGACAGATTGAATCAAACTGTGATATAGAAGTTTAAGAACATCGAAAGAAACTGTTTGTCTCAATTGACGAAGTAGATATATATGTTTACTGAGCTTCAGTTAAACACTATCAATATGAGTATTCCAGGTTAGCTTATTATCAATATGGACCCCCAAAAATCTTGTATAATTAACTTTATGGATTGTTTCATTGTTTATTTTGACCAAATAGCTTTCATCTATAGTTGTATTTTTTGTAGCGAAGTTAAAGATTTGAGATTTGGCAGTATTCAGCAACAATCCGTTTAGAGAACACCACTCTGAAATTTGAGCTGTGACTTCTCGGGCTCTATCAACAACTTCCGAGATAGTTCCCGCAGATACCAAAATATTAGTATCATCAGCAAAAATCACAGTTATTGAAGCTTTCGTACAGAAGTTGGGAAGATCGTTGATAAAAACTAAAAATAAAAGTGGTCCTAGGACAGAGCTTAAAATAGGAGAACAGTAGAACGGAGACAAAAACAGTAGATCTACTGTTAGAACAGTAGGTCTGGCAACACTGGTTTCTATGCGAACTACACTCACCCATTTCTGCGCCCGCTTCCAGTCTCAGCGATCCCCACTCCCAAGCGACGAACCTGGGCCTCGGATCAGCACACACCACCATGCTGAGATCGGCCGCCTGTCCGCTCTCTACAACCACCTCGGGCGTGGCGGAGTGCCTCAGAACTTGCGGGGCTCCTGGAACAAATGGAAGCGGCTAGAGACAGGGTACTACAAATCATCCTGGCGGTGGGGGAACGTTATATCGCGGGTACGGCGAATAAATTCTTTCTTCGCTCTATAAGTATAAGTGTACCTTTTCAACTTCAATTTCGGAATCGGTGAGTTATATTTCGGAAAAAGTAATCTTGATTTCAGAATTGGTTAGTTCGATTTCAGAAATGGTGAACTCAATTTCAGAATCGGTGAGATGAATTTCAGAAAAAGTCCATTCAATTACAGAAATGGTAAGTTGTATTTCAGAATTGGTAGGTTCAATTTCAGAAGATGAATCCTTAAATATGTTTGAAATGTTTTCAATTGCAAAAGAGAAGATTGTTTACAGTGGATGGAACGGTGTTTGAGAGCGTGCGTTTGAAATCCTGCACATACCATAGTGGTAGTTCTGGATAATGCACCTGCACATTCAAGCATAGAAGAGATATGCATGGAGGAAGAATTTCAACATGTTATAGTTTGCAGATTGGCACCTTACAGCCCTATGTTGAATCCCATTGAACATATATGGAGTGCCTTCAAGTCAGAAGTGAAGAGCATTTTTCAAGAGCATCGCCAAAGGGTCATAGCTGGGGATACGAACAGATTGCTCAGCCAGATAGAATTCAGACTGCGATGTCTTGAAGAATGTGCCGATCATTCAATGAAAATGATAACCCCTCAAATGTGTTTACATTCTTATACGTAATCATGTGCAACGCCACTATCCTCCTGCGATTCGGATGGAAGACATCTCAAATCAAATCAATTTATTCTATTCCATGACAATATGCGTAGTGTATAACAATTTTTTTGTTTGTTTGAGATTATTTTAATATATACATGTGTAAGTATATTTTATATTATATATATGTTTTGATTTTGAGGCTTCGTAAGAAGTGGAGTGACCTAGGCACTAGTGCCTGTATTGTCGACTATCCTCCTCCTAAGAAGCCAGAAAAAAAAACCTAATACCACTATAAAAAAATAAACAAGAAAATTAACTTAAAGCTATATGAAGCTAACAATGATACTAGGGGTGGAGTGAGATGGTCAAGATGAGAATATAGAGCTATTTCGAGAAAATAATTTTCCTTATTTTCGGGGTTAGGGGAAGGTTCAAATGGTTTTTGAGAGTGGATGTATTTGAAGATTTTCATGACTTGAAAATTTCGTACTTTTCGAAGTTTTCCAGAATATTTTTTTTTATTTCAGTTTTGAATTTATACGTTTTAGTAATTTGTTTGATTTGTAATGGTAGTAAGTTATATAGTGTTGGTCCATAATAGTGAAATGATTTCTGTGTCAAGGTTTTGTCGACGAAATCAATATGCACATTCCAATTAGTTGCGGCTCTGGTGTTCGAATTTTTTCTTTGGAATGAGTCCCTTTTATGATAAACTCGGAGAAGGCATTGGTAAGTGTATATTTGTCTGACTGTGAATAATTGGGTTTCTTTGTAAAGAAGTCTAGCAGAACTCTGTGTGCGACCGTTTGATATAAGTGGAAGCCTTAGCAATTAATAGTGATTCGTCACTAAAACAATTGAACTTCGCCATTTATTCTCACTTATAAATATGTAATTGTTCATAAAATAATATCTAAGAGAATAATAAAGACATTTATTATTGTTATTATTATTATAAACATCTATGGAGGCGTTACCCACTTGTGACTTCCACTGGCCTAGCGGGGACTCTTCACCTAGTCAGACGACAGCGATTCTGTGCTACTACAGTTCTCGGAAAGAGTTTTCATTTTTCCTACTACCATCATGCACATTTCCATCACGATAATGCCTGTGTTTAACCCTACCCACCTGGAACGTTTGTTGTATGCTCCAGCAACAGGACTCATTTGTCAGGACTTTAAGCATAGACAAAACTCCTCTTTGGCTCACAGCAGCCAACTCTGCACTGAGCAGAGATGTTATCGATCATAAATAATCTGAATAAATGGATTTGAACTGTCGTTTTTTTTTCTCTGTTTGATCAAGTGATTTATACTCTTTAGGAAGAGGGTTTATTTTGACTGAGTAAGGTTGGATTGCCTAGAAACACTTATCTCTTTTCTTATGCAGAAGTGATAAACCTTCCTTCCTGAAAAAAGTACGATAGAAGTTCATAGTTCAAAGTCTATTAGAATAGTAATGTAAAGAAAAAATTGCCAGTCGTTTGAAAGTCAATTAGGAGGAAGGATTACTTCATAGACACATAATATATTATATTCAATTGAGGAAACCTAGTAAAATCGAAATATTTATTTGGAACTTCCAGTTCATCGATGTCGGACTATTCATGAATTCAGAACGATGTTACTTAATGATGAGAATATCAAGTGATTTGAAACAGCTGAAGTAAATACGTCACATGAGCATATTGGATCTACATCAAATGCCTAATTCAGTTATTGCCTAATGTGCTGGGAATTAAACATGATCCAGTTTAATGCAGTTGATATGTCAACTGCCTGGAATGTCCGATATTTCGGCGAATGAACGTTATTTCAATATTTGGTGAAGTTGCATACGTTTACCACCCAATATCTGAGTTTATGGCGGACACTCCCAAGTGTTTGACGACTAAAGAATGTAATAATATTTGGCGTTATAACACTTTACACAGTCTGATCTCCATGATCACAACATGAGCATCAAAACCCACCGAATACCCTTTACAAAACAAGTACAATTCGAAAATCTCCCGTTCACAATTGCATCTATAATGCTCTACCAGATGACGTCAAATCAAAACCCACCTACAGTTCTTTTAAGAATATGTCACATGAGCATATTGGGACTATATTCGATAACTAATTCTTGATAAATGTGCTCCGAATTGCATATGATTAAGTATAATGCGGTTGATGTAAAAACTGCCGAAATGTCCGATATTTTGGCGAATGAACTGTAGTTCAATATTTGGTGAAGTTGCTTATGCTTAACTACCAAATATCTAAATTTATGGCGGATACTCCCACATGTTTGATGACTAAGAAGTAGAAAACATTTTCGTGTCATTACAATATAGACACCTATATTTCACAAATAAAAAATTGCTATAGGAAGAACATGAGAAGTTTTACGATAGCAAATATTTCTCGAATATTTTTTTTTATTTCATGCTGATTTTTTAAATCTTTCATCAAAAATAGTTGAATGTTATAGTCGCTTTCTTTTGGCGTTGTTCCTCTGCCGTTGAAATCTGATCCCCTCGATTAGGATACTCCAATACCCAATGGAAAAAGATTGTGAAATATTCGAATATTCTTACAAAAATCAAGGCAATATAGGAGGTGGTCAAACTTTATAACAATTAAAATTCAGAAGCTAACCGCTGGAAGACCCACATGAAATTACTTGTAGTAGGTGATGAAATCTGAGAATTGAAAAGTTCTTGAATATTTCAACATGAAAGAATAGAGGGTATTTGCTTCAACTGAACTACCCAACACTAATTCCGTCGCAGCCCAAAATTTTGCCCCTGTTGAAATATGAATACCTTTTTTCTGCTTTGAATAACTTGATTCGCTAGACCAGTCCTTCAGGTATAATCTCGTTTTTCTCTAAAACTTGAGGTACTTGACATAAAATCTCTAAAGGGTGTCACATCAATCTATGATACATTTCGGAATTTTCTATAGGATCCCAAATGTACAAAAACTTATTCAACTTCGTCAGCAGAGGAATGAAGATCATCTCATTACCTTAGTACTTTTATCAAATTGTTTGCTTTTTTCTTTTATTAAACAGAGTGAACTCAAAAAATCAACTTTTTGGTTTTGCAGTCATAACTTTCCTTGACAACCCATTTTTGACGCTGAAACTTCATATGAAAAGAAATCAAGATCAGAATTGACTCAAGATGAAGATTATACAGTGTGTCTCACTTCTAATTGAAGAATCCTTTAATCTTTGTAATTGTTGTATGGGATTTTTGAATTTCCAGGAACGGTAGATTCACTGAATATACACACTATGGTCAAGTAGAGTCTTCTCCAGTTATATACACTGCTCGCCAGCAGCCATGGAATCACCCACAAAAATGAAATTAGGATGCAAGATATTCATATTTTTCTAGAATATTTCTACTTTTGAAAAATCAAATTTTGTCTCACACTCTATGGAAGCACCGCTGTATCTTACATATTTGACTTCATCTTCGGACTTTCCCTTTCTCCTGCAAATTTCAGAACCCTACCTCAAGAATTACGTAAGATACGAGGGTGCTTCCATGAGGAGGAAGAAACAATTACATTTTTCAGAACTGAAAATTTGATTTGTTTGACGAAATATGTATTGTGAGAGAATTAAACGTCCTGATTCCGAATCCGAAGTGATTTCAAACCTACCTTGGCTCCTTATATCATTTTCCGGAATGTGGGAGGTTTCATGGCTGTTGGCAAACAGTGTATATCATGGAGATGACTCCACTTGGTCATAGTGTGTATCTTCAGAATACCTCCTGCTTTTGCAAAATTTCAGAATCCTAACTCAACAATAACGAAAGAGGGATGCTTCCATCAGAAAGGAGATACAGTGTTTCATGTTCATCTTGAGTCAATTATGATCTTTATTTTTCATGATCTGTTTCAGTTTCAAAGTGAGCATGAGAATTCAAGAATCGGTTGACAAGAAAAACAGTTATGACTGAAAAACACGGAAGTTGATTTTTCGATATTACTCTGTAAATAAAGGAGATAAGGAAAATGTCTCACGGTAATGAGTTCATCTTCATGCCTCTGCTGTGAGAGTTGAAATAAAAGTTTTTCTCCATTTGGGATCCGTTTGAAAATTCCGGAATTTTGCTCAGTTACAGGTAACACCTCGTAGCGACTTCATGTGAAGAACCTTATGTTTTAAAGCAGTACGAGATAAAAGCTGAAGGACTGGGCTATCGAACATTGTGATCCGAATCCACATTGTTCGAAGCAGAAAAAAATTATTCATATTTCAACAGGGGCAAAATTTCAGGGTGCGACGAAATAAGTGT